AAAAAAACTAATCATTAGTCCTATTCACCTCTCTCATCACATCTCATCAAATCACACACACTAACCTACACCTTGTACTTTTGTCCATTCCCTTAACTTACTCATTAAAACTGTCCAAACTCATACTGACAGTTATTTTCTCCTGTATACGGGTTCTGGATGCTAGGTTGTACTGTGCTGGGAGATTCTTAAAATTAAGATTCTCTAACTGTATCTATACTGGAAATTCTTCCGTTTTAAAGTACGGTGAGAATTTATCGATCGAATTTACTTGATCGAAAAATTGTGAACTTAACGTGAAATCTGCTACAGAATTTAGGAATGCAGATGTTAATTCCCTAAATCCTTCAATCACAAAATGTACATAGTATAATGATTTTCCAGGAAAATCCTTGACTTGAATACATGAATTATATTATTAAAATTATGGGATTTTTTTCTTGGTCACTACAATCTACCCCCCTTAAGAATTTTCGTCCCGAAAATTAGAACAACTCGGGGTAGCTTTTCCTCATATCTTCTTCGCGTTCCCAAGTAGCTTCCTCAATATTGTGATTTCGCCTCAAGACTTTAACTAGAGGAATTACTTTATTCCTTAAAGTTTTCTCCTCGCGAGCCAAGATCTGGACTGTTTCTCTTCGTAGGTGAGGTCCGCGTGCACTTCGACCGGTTCCTGGTGCTATACATGCGATGGATCTGTCACATATTTCTTCAACATCGATACATGAAAGACGTTGTGTACAGAAGCTAATTCTGGCGGCAATGCTAGTCTATATGCGACTTTTCCAATCCTTTCAAGGATCTCAAAAGGTCCTATGTATCTCGGACTGAGCTTCCCTTTCTTGCCAAATCTCATTACCCCTTTCATCGGTGCCACCTTCAGAAAAACTAAGTTTCCTACCTGAAACTCCAGTGGCCTGCGGCGTTTATCTGCGTAACTCTTCTGGCGACTATGAGCTGTATCTAACCTCTCTCTGATAAGTCTCACATCCTCTGTGGTTCTCCTGATGAAGTCTACTGTTTCAAGATGCTTCTCCCCTGGTTTGTACCAGTGAATTGGGGACCTGCATCTTCTTCCATATAGAGCTTCGAAAGGTGCCATTCCTATTGACGCGTGATAGCTGTTATTGTAGGAAAACTCTATCAAGGGTAACTTCCTATCCCAGTTTCCCTTGAAGTCCATGACACATGCCCTCAGCATATCTTCTAGGGTCTGGATGGTCCTCTCAGATTGGCCATCTGTCTGTGGGTGAAAAGGCGTACTGAACTTTAGCTTAGATCTCATTGCATCATGTACATTTTTCCAAATTCTTGATGTGAAGCGGCCGTCTCGATCCGAAATGATGGATTTTGGAATTCCATGCCACGCTACTATCTTAGACACGTAAAGTTCGGCCAGCCGCTCAATAGAATAACTGAGTTTGATCGGCAGAAAGTGTGCGGATTTAGTCAATCGATCCACGATTATCCAAATCGCATCGTTACCATCGGATGTTCTGGGCAACCCTACCACGAAATCCATCGTGATTTGGTCCCACTTCCATTCTGGAATATCAATCTTCTGTTGTTCTCTTGCTGGACGCTGATGCTCTGCTTTAACTTTCTGACAGTTAAGGCACTTCGATATAAATTCAGCCACGTCCTTCTTCATTCCTGGCCACCAAAAGCTCCTTTTCAGATCCTTATACATTTTAGTTGCTCCCGGATGAACATAGTAAGGCGTTTCATGTGCTTCTAAAAGGATCTGCTTCCTCATTTCCTCATCTTTAGGGACGCATATCCTACCCTTGTGGAGGAGTGTGTCATCCTCCGTGAGGCTAAACACCATTTCTTTGCCTTCGAGAACTTCGTCCTTTAACTTCACCAAGGTAGGATCGGATTCCTGACTACTCTTCATGTGCTCGAGGATGGTCGGCTGTAGGGTGAGAGATGA